CCGCGTCTCCAAACTAGTGCATGAAGCAGAGCTGAGAACTGAAATAGAACCAGATAAAATCAGTGTGAACCATTCCTGTCATCTATCTATCTATCTATCTATCTATCTATCTATCTATCTATTGTTCTATCGTTCTATTTATCTGGATTATATGCTCAGTTAAAAATGAACAGAATATAATTAAATAAAAAATTAAATACATTCAAAATCTATTAAAATGTGATGGATATGTACATCAATTTGAACATAAATAAATGTATTTGTGTATATTATTGAAATGTAAATCTGTCTAATAATCCAATCACTTCATGTTCAAGAGTGTAAGAATGGGTGAACTGCATGTAAAATAAATTGTTATGCAGAAAATAAATATTTAGAGCTGTTTTGAAGCTGGCATGGTTCAGAATGAGAGTTTTATGGAGGCGTCTGATCCGTCACTTTATATCTCTGTAGGTTATGAGGGTTCGTTCCCCCTTCACATAGTCCAAAGCTTGAGAGTTTGTCTATTAATAGCTGTTTTGCTCTGTCTGCACAAAGAGGAGAGTGAAGGAGGATTCCACAGCATTTCAACCACGAACCGATACAGCCCTGATTTAATCATGTACATGTGATCTAATGAAGGAAATCATTCATTTAATTATCAGTTGAAGAGAAATAAAATGGTTTGCATCCATTTTTACTGTTAGCCAAGCAAATCTCAAGCTGATGTTAAGGTCAGCAGTGATGTGAAATTATTCTCCATATGTGTCATATTGTCACGCAACGCTACTGTGAGGGAGCGCAGAACGAGGAACGAGGAGACGAGGAGAATTCTTCAAACAGAGATACTTTAATAGCCATCCAATAGAACAAGGAAACCAGGAACACACACGTAGCAAGGAACACGACATTCAATACAGAACAAAGAACTTAGAACCGGGAACACTTTAAATACACAAGACATAATGAGAAACACCTGGGATCAATGAGCAACATAATTAAACATGAGGGAAAACTGGGACATGGAACACGTGGGGAGAAAAACACAAAATTCGGAACGGAGTCTGACATTACTCCCCCCCCGGAAGGCGCGTCCCGCGCCGTAACAATTCCACCGGGGGGCGCTCTGGAGGCCTCTCAGGACAGGCTTACAGGGACGGACGGCCTCCAGGGCGGTACCCGTTCCGGGACCCATGGCAGATCAGGCAGACTAAGGAGTTATGGCGGAGCAGACAGTTCAGGGGGCCATGGCGGAACAGAGAACTCGGCACTCAGCCCGGCCTCCACGGACGGACCCCTACTATCCCCCCCAAAAAAAAAATCCTTGGGGAGGATATCGTCTTTAGAGGCCCCCTTGGGCTTGACCTGGGGACTGGAGCCCTCTCTGGGCTAAACTCGGGGACTGGAGCCCACACTGGAGTGAGCCTAGGGACTTGAACCAACTGCCTTTTCCTCCTTAGACTCTTAGTTAGGTTCGGGGTGAAAGGTGTGTTTTTTTTTTTTTTAAAGGAACACTCCACTATTTTTGAAAATAGGCTCATTTTCCAACTCCCCTAGAGTTATACAGTTGAGTTTTACCGTTTTCGAATCCATTTAGTTGATCTCCGGGTCTGGCGGTAGCACTTTTAGCTGTAGCTTAGCATAAACAGTCCCCAGCACGCTCCCTGTGCAAGCAGGAGGTCACGTTAGTTATGTTGACGGAAGTTAGCCTATTTTCAGGCGCAGCTACATATAGGCAAAAATGTAAATGCACAAAAGTACAAAAAAAAAGAAATGTAAGATTGTAGGACTTCGTCATGTGAAAGTTGATGTGTGTGAAAGTCTTATCTGCAGTGTTGGGGAAAGTTACTTTTAAAAGTAATGCATTACAATATTGCATTACTCCATAAAAAAAGTA